GCCCGGCCTATAATTCCTCTTTCTTACCTGTCCTCTGTTATTTGTCTCCTGTATGATCTTACCTATTCTTTCATTCATCCATTCATTCAACACATATTTATCGAACATTCAACAATATTCAATCAACAAACATTAACTGAGTACTTCTTCTATGCACCAGGCTCTGGGTTACAAAGATAAATAAGGTATGATCCATACCCTTCTAGGAATTCAAAGTCTTGGAAAGGAAAACAGACATGTAAATATTTCACTGCAACAAAACTTTAATACTATAAATAGGCTTCAATAAAGTACTTTAGGAGTGGGGCAGAGGAATGGGTATATCAGAGGAAGTTTTATAGAAAAGACAATGTTTGCATTTAATCTTGGAGGATAAGTAAAAAAAGTCTGTTAGGAGGAGATAGACTGGTATTCCAGGCACACGGGCCACTAAACGAGTAAAGAAGTACAGAGGCATGAGGAAGCATAACCATCTTTAAGAACAGCAAGTAGTTCAATGTGAACACAGGTTTAAATATGCACAAGGAAATCAACAGCTATGGAGCAGACTGCACTACATGTGCTTCCATTTAGAAGCTAATCATGGTGGACTTTAACTTGTGAGCAGCCTGGAGTCAAAAGAACTTTTGTGCAGCTGAGCAACCAGCATAGATTTGTGTGAGGGGAAAAGTCAGCTGTAGTAGCAGTGAGGAGAGTGGGCTAAATTAGAAATAAAGTAGGAAGAGATTGGTATGGTCTGCTAGGTGGAAAGCTGTAGTACCAAGGTAGGTGTGAGATAACGAGCAAATATTACGATGAAATAGAAGAGATGGATTCGAAAGACATTTCAGACAGAATCTATAAAACTTGGCAAGTAATGTTTACGTGTGTATGTTACACAGAAATGAATGGTGGGAATTGAGAATGTGTCCAATTTGGGGGCAGGAGTTTTGTATGATTCTTAGAGACAACTGAGCAGATGTTGATGAGATTCACTGGGAAAGAACCCAGGAAGGAAGGTAGGTAGAGAGTTGAGGGTGGGGGGAAAGGATAAGGCAGTTAGGTTTCTTTTTAGACATTTTTGGCTTGATGTAACTGTGGAGTAATATCACATGGATATGATCCAATGGGCAGTACGAAATAGGAAAATGAAACTTAAAGACAGTGTCGTTGGGGGGGGATATAGAATACAGAGCCACAAAGGTACAATGGTACTTAAAGTCAAAGGAGTAGGTAAGGCCCTGTAGGCAGGGAGAAGGACAAAAGTGAAAACCTAGGGAACAAACTTTTAAGAGATGGACAGAAAATACAGACATGGGGATGAAAGAACCAAGCAATAGGGTCTTAAAACCCATGGAAGGGAAGGCTTGAAGAAAGTGAATCTGTTCACAAGTATCAAATGTCTTATCTCATTACAACCTGTGAAGTTTGTATTCTTTCACTGATTTTACCAATGAGAAAAACAATTCTTAGTATTTCTTCCTCCAAAATCTGGAGGCAACGGGTTCACTGGATGACATAAAAGCCCCTGTTTCTCAATTTACCCTAAAGTAAATGTAGGTAATCTCCTTCCTCAGGATTACTGGTTTCTATCACCAACAATTCATTTCTCTGCTTCCTAATTCTGCCACAAGATCTGAACTTTCATCAACCTAATCTGCTTCCCATTCCTTACAACTACCCTGACAATTCCTGCCACCCTGTGTTTTTCTGTTCCTCTTCCTCTAAATGACGTCTACGTTCCACCCTTTCTTACAATTCATGTCCCTGACCACCTTTTAGAAACAACATGTAGCTCACCTTCCCCATTGATTAACTCTCACAATTAGGAATGTTCCATTATTCTGTGCTCCCTTGGCATTATTCATACACATAAACAAAGACTGTGTCCTTGCTTACTAGAAATGTGTCAAATGTGTCTATTCTTTCTTCTCGATCAACCCATAAGCTCTTCAAGGGAAGATATGACTTTTCATTCTCAATTTTTAACACTACAATTTAGGGGCAGGGATATAGGGATGTAATGTTAGTAAGTGTGGATGTAACTTGGCTGCCATAGGTTCAAAGACAAAGAATAAAGTAAAATACACACTAAGTGTAAATAAGGTAACTGGCTATTCAAGCGTTTAACATGAAATGACACATAGGGTACAAGTGGCCAACAGAGGTAGCACTTATCATAGAACATTGCAGATTTTACAGGAAATAGCTCTTTAGCCATTTTTAATTTTGTTTTCTCACATAAATACACTTTAAGTAACTGAATAAACTGTATTTTTATAAGAATGATCTACATTTATAATTACATTGCTATTAAATACTTAAATCAACAGTATTTCAAATAAAATGGAATTGTTATTTTAGACTTCCCTTAGATGTGTATTCTAGAAAATGCATTCCAGTATTACTGTTGGGTAACGTACTCCTCTGCAGCCTAGTTAATGGCTGAGACCCCGTTCCAGTGCTAACAGTATCTAAGGGCAACACAATATAAACCCTGGCTGGTTTCTGAATCTACATTTCAAGGATAGAACGAAACCAGTGAAACTGAAATGAAACTCATATAAACATCCCACACCAGACATCATACAATAAGCAGTTATTTTTTTTGGAAGTCAGACATGAAAACGAATCAAAGAACTGTTCCTTCATGATTTCCATATTACTTAAAACACATACAAATATTCTCAGATTTCTTTTTGTGGGTTTGAACTTCCAAGTTCTTCCTTATTTGAAATAAAATGCAACTGAATATCTATCCACATGGAATAAGCACACAGTGGCCTGGTTGGAAAGACTCCATAATCGGCTTTTCTGTTTGAAGTCTCACAGATGAAGAAGTCATAGAATTTTTCACTTTGGGCAAACACTTTAAAATACACAAGAAGCAGAAATATGAGACGTTACAGATGTCATATCCTGCACAGAATTTTGAAAAGAGCTAACAACTTCCTTGAATATCATATTTAAACAGTATGAGGGGACATAAAATTAAGAATATATGTTTTAGGAACATTTACTGAGACCTTGCAGTATGCCTGATAAGGAGCTGAACTTTTTATCTCATTTAATCTTCACAACAATCCCTTGAAGTGAGTGCACATACCACATACAAGGACATTCAAGTAAAGAGAAATTAAGTGTCACCTAGTAGGTGTCAGTGCCATAAATAAAACCCATACAGCCTGATTCCTGGGTCCCAATTCTTAATGTCTGATTAGTTCTTTTCAGTGCTACCTACTCTCTTTAGGATAAAATTTTTTTTCCAGTAGAAGTTAACATAATGGGGTATTTTGTAATGGGGTAATGGGAACTTAGAATTTCCATGTTTCATGGAAGCTACCTAAATGAAGAATATCCATCAAAACTAATGTAAATGAAGAAAAATAGGAAAACTAGAATGTGTTAAAATTAACTGCAACCTACAACGTACCCCAAGGAGAAATGTGATTTCCAATTTTCATTAAATAAACTTTGCCATCACCAACAATGATATATTATCAGGCTTTACTAGTGCATTCCTAATTCATGGAAGTAATATAATAGATTTTTTTTTAAGTTTTCTAAATATTCAGGGTATGAAATAATAGTATATTAAATTATATGTTGATAGTTTTAAAGAAGTAATTTTGTTTCTCAAACTTGCTAATTTACTTTAAGAGTGAGTATAAGGTCATTAAGGATCAGTTGCATATTTTTATTTAATCATTTGCCCAGGCTTATTTTCATACTTCAAAGTTCACAAATAATAAATCCAGAAAGAAAAGACATTGCCAAAGTAGTCTTTAACATATAGCAACCATAGAAATGTATCTTTTACAATGTTATTTACATATTTGTAAGAAACAAAGGCCCATCCGAAACTGTGTGTGTGTGTGTGTGTGTGTGTGTGTGTGTGTGTGTGTGTGTGTGTATCAGCACCTAAATGGAGAATATCCACTATTCATAAGAAGGCTCTATCAGTTAGGAATTAGGAAGCAATTTGTCTACTGAGCCACTTAAAAGCAAATACACCAACTATTCAGCATTCTCAGTATTAGTAACCTTCTGGTAGAAGTCGAAATTAGAGCACTTAGTAGGAACATTGCATCTAAAGCTATTTAATTCTACTCTGAAATTCCAAGAGCTCTTAGAAACAGGAGGAATGCTAATAAAAGAAGATGCAGAGTCAGACACCCTCAAAGAAAATCTTTTTTTTTTAATTCCATACTGGACAAATGGTTAAAGATTAAAGAATAGCAAGAGAAAATTTAACCATGGTGACCATAAATAAACATTTCTTTTGTACATACCACTTGAAAAATTTCCTTACCATATACTCCATATTAGAAGCTGTTGGATACACCTGACTTCGTAATTTATTATGAAGGTCCAAGATACTCTCCATGTCATTGTCTGTGATGGCCCTCTTCCCTCTTTGCTTGGCCGACCACCACTCACCATCCTCATCCATGTACTTTTCCAAAAGTTTCTCCAATAAAGTGGCATTAGGAACCACCATGGCTGGAATTGCTCTAGCCATGAATAGCACTGTGGTTACTCTGAGCCACTCCCGCGCAGTACACTTCATAATGAATGACCTCAGGATTTCCCCGGGAAAATCTCCAAGACAGGCTCTTCCACTCCTTTTGGCTATAACGACATGTCATGCGATTAAGATGAAAATACAGGCTGATATTAATTTTTTAATAACAAAAGCAAAAGTTACAACGAAAGTATGCCACTTTGACTTGTCTACATAACACCAACAAATGGACACCAGCTTTTGAAATAACTTTTCCCCAACCCATTTTTTTCTTCCAGAAGACTTTTCACAATGTATGTTTCCACAAAACAGACAACTATGTTTTCGCAAGGTAATATCCGGAAGGCCAAAATTAAGTGGCAAAAGTAGCCCAGAAGAGTCAAAGCTTGGAAATACTATTTGAATTACAAGATGTAATTGCTATATATTACAAATAGTCTGCAAAAGATGTTATCTATCTAGAATGTTTTATTTCAGTCTAGAGGTCCACGTTTCTCTATAGTGAGTCTTAAGGTATTATTTTTCATTTAAGGCATATTTTATTCCATTGTCCCATCGCTGGTTCACAACATTCATAATGCCCACAGTAGTCTCAAATTGAGGATGAATGTCTTAATAAAAGGCTATTCATACATGTATCCATGGGTACATCCAGAGGGGCCGTGAACTACTGAGAATGAATGGTTCCGGTCACTGGGAGAAATCTCTTACCCGGACGCTGGTCAAGAACTCAATCATTATTTCCTGGAAAGTTTGTGCCTAACGTGTGGCCTGCACCCGAGAAAGCCAGCGGCTCCCCGGCAACCTCAGAGTTTTCCTCCCATACACTGCAGGCGCACACTATTCATTTAACCCGAAAGGAAAGCGCGCGACAGAGGGAGGTGCACCCACAAAGTCCCTTACAAGAACAAGCCTCCGCTATTCTCCAATGCCGCTGCTTGCCGAGTAGCCCACCCAACCTCCGTGCCTGACCATTCTCTACAAGTTGCCTTTTTTTTTTTTTTAAGTAGGGTTTTAAAAGAAAAAAATGAGATGGGAAAAGTTGGCAGCTTGACCCCTCAGCGATGCATTTTAGAATCGCCCTTACCTCTCCAGTGTGAAGTTCCCGGGGAGAGCTGAGCCGAGCGGGACGGCGGCCTCCGCAGCCGCCCCGAGTCCTCACACACTGCTGCAAACAGAGCGCCCCGTTGGGGAAGGACCCGGGCACTGCGCGTCCGGAGGCGACGAGGGCGCAGACTGCAGCGGGACGCGAGGCTCTGCCTCCGCGGTTCCCTGCACCCTGGAAGAAGTGGCAGGCAAAGCGCTCCAAAGTTAGACCATGCAGTCAGGGCGGAAAGGGAGCTAGCTGTCTCGTCAGTTTGCCAGGGTGGGCGCCCGAGCGTCTTTGAGCATTATCTGCAGGAGCAAGGGGCGGGGACTCTAGCCGGGTTCGGCGGCGACGGCCGGTGGCGACCTCGCACTCTTGATCGGTGCACCCGCGCGCGCAAAGCCAGGCGCCGAGCGCTTCCGCCGCTCCCTCGCGCTCGCGGGCATTTATTACCGCCCCTGCGCGCGCACGTGACGCGAGCGCCCCTCCTGGCCCACCCCACCCC